ACACACACACACACACACACACACACACACACACACACACACACACACACACACACACATACGCACACACACGCACACATATGCACACACACACGCATCCCCAAGCAAGTGTGAATGCAGGCCGACATCCACGTATACACATGCACTATATGTCGTACTGTGCTTTCTTCTCCCTGCCTCTTTTTGAACGTCGCATTCTACATTCCTCTTTTTCCTTGCCTGCTTTTCTTTTTCTACTGCATATTCCCTCACTCGCTTCGCTCAAATCACGCTCTTTTTCTTGAGACTCCTCTCCCGACTCTTTCGCTTCTTCCTTGTCAGATGTTTCTTCGTTCTCACCTGAGTGGTTCACCAAGTTGATCACACTCTGACTCTTGTTCCCCTCCTCTTCATTCTCATTTTCCTCCTCCATCTCCCTGTTTGCTGTGTTTGGAACCTTTTCATGCTCTGCCCCACTGACACCCTCCACGTCAGCTCTCCTTTCTCCCATTGTTGACTCTGAAACTATTTGCGTTCCTGGACAAGTGCATTCCATAAGCAGTGGTCCTTCCCCCACATCTTTCTCATGTGCACTTTGCTCCCTTGTGTCTTCGTCGGTGCCTTGCGCCTATGTAGTGATGACAGTCGTATCGTGTGTTCCTTGCGACGGCTTGGAATGCGAATCGACCTTCCCTGCCACCGCCTTCACTACCTCATGTGCCTGAAATTTTGGTCCTTCTTCGTCTGATGCTTTTTGTTGCTGGTCCTCTTCAATCTTTTCGTCCTTCCCGTCATCGCCAACAACTTCCCCGCGTGCTGTTAGTGTTGTCTCACTTCTGGCTCCCACTGCACTGATGCCTTCTGACGGTCCAAGTGTTGGTTGCGGTGTGCTTGATGGCCGCTCACTGAGCTCATCTCCTATTGCGTTTTGCATCCAGAGATGCCCTTCCTTGTCTGCCACACTCTCGCCACCACCTCCTGCTGCTGCTGAATCGATCTGCTTCCTTACACTTGTGTGTCCTTCAAGGCCTTGACTGCATCCCACAAGTATGTCGCTGTCGTACATACAGTCCGTTGCACGGTAGTCCACAGACCATATGACAGCTCCATACGATGGACTCGATTTCTTGTCGTAGAACGCAGCGCAATACTCGAGAAGGTGATTTTCACGCAGGAAATCGAATAACGAGTTCACTTTGTCTGATACTTTGTGGTATGGCGCCTCTCTGTTCGCCTGCTTCACGCGGGTAGACAAGTTGTCCTTTGCGATTTCATAAAACCTGCTCCTGAGGACTCTTTCCCTGAACACCCATTTCCCACCCATTCGGATAGCCATGTGCCATCTGCCATCAATCACACAAGGCTCGAAAAGACCTGGATGCCATATGATGTGATGTTTCCAGTCGTATTCATATGACTCTTTGTACTTTGTTTCTAGAAAGTGAGGTCCTCCTTTCATCTCCTTCATGTTATATGATATATTATCACCCGGTGCAAGTTGTTTGGGGACGTCGTCCGGGATGTGAAAGAGGGTATCATCCTCTATGTCCATCCCATCTTAGTCGTCCACTGATTCCTTGTCTGCACGTGCAACATTTTGAGTCTCGCCATCCGCCGCTCCTTATATGTTATTGCGAACTCTCCTCACCAGCGAAACGAATTCTGGGGTAGCTTCCTTCATGCCGCACTTGGATGTGCTGCCTTCCATTGCACCACCTGTTCTCGGCGTTGTTCCACACATCACATTATTGGGCTTGGTACTCGCGATAGTGTCGCCAACATCTTCCTCCATCGCTTGTTCACCACCCATAGCGGACAGCGGAGGCGTTTCGTCTCTCACTGCATTTTGATGTGCATCCGACAATGGCAGGTCAATCTCCTCATCCTCTATTTCCTCCTCACTGTCCATAATGTCAAACTGCTCCCCAACGTCCATCACCTCGCAGTAAACCTTGGTATCAATTTTGACTCGCTTCCTTTCAAACCACAGGTGTTCACATCGGTTCAGAAATATCTCAATTGCACCGCGTTTGGCGTTGTGATATCCTTGTAGATGCTGGATCGCTATCACCTTACGGTGCAGATAATCTGCATCTGTTGGTGTTGCGGGTGCATTGCAGAAAAGATAGCTCCTCAGAGAGTCCCTCTTCTTGCCGAGCTTCAGGAACATGTCTCGGTCTGCACGATGTTGAGGTTTCGACCGTTCAAAGTGACACCTGTTATCCGGATTGTGAATGTGGCGATCGATAAACAAAGTGGAGTACTCCATCAGGTTTGAGGAACCATCACATGCGACGACTTGGCGTCCTGAGCGCAGCAAGTCGCACGTTGTTCCTGCCTGAACGTTGCCCAGTAACAGAACACCTTCCCCTTCCTTCAAAAACCAGGTGCACAAGTCTTTCATCTTTGCAGGTTCCCTCTCCCATATCCCGTACACAGGTTTGCTATCGCCTCGCACATTGATTGTCTCTTTTGTACATCATACAAATAACTCCTCCACGTAATGCGTGTCGAAGAGAGTGTTCCCACGAGGCTTTGCGACCGTGACCTTTTTCAAGTCGTTGTCTGTATCGTGCAGCACAATGGTCATGGAGTCGCGTCCTCTCAACGGAAGGTTCCCAACTTGGGCGCAAGATGATGATGCTTCGCTATAAGGACGCCAACGCCCTGGAAGAACTCTCACACCGTCCCACCTGAAGACGTTCCTCAACACTGTTTCCTCGACTTTCAATGCGCTGAAAATGATTAGCGCTCAGTGCGACCCGCACAACACCGTCATCATTTGGCGGAGCTCGTGAAACCTTTGCTCGCTCCATGCATTAAGATTCTTCAACGGAGCCAAGTCCAATACTGCAAGGTGACAGCTCAACTTTCTCACGGCACGAGTGAAATCTTCTGTCGGGTGCAGTGCATCCATAGGTGTGATGCAGACAGGAAGATACGTCGTGTGATCTTTGCGCTTGTCTCACATTATGTGTTGAGCATTTGAGCTGATCCGTCTCAGCTCATCCCTCAATTGCTCAACTGCGCCAAGAATCTTATGCACAAAAAGTTTGAGAAAGTATGGACACTCCATATATATTGCAGTCATCACCTTGTGGCCCCCGACATTCCCTTTTTCAAGTTTCGCCTCATCCACGCTTCCCAATCGTTTTTGGACATTGACAGTCTTCTCTGCTACGATCTTGGACTTGGTTTCTTCCCATTTCTCCGTCGTCAACACTCGCGATGCAAACCGCCTCATTATGGTATCGTAGCCAATGAAGAACTTGTCATTTCACTCCTTCTCCGACCTCTTCTCTATCTTGAAGAGGATATAGTTAAACATGCGAACTAGATATCTCTCCCTTCTCACCTCCACGTACAGGTCTTGCATGTTCATCATTTTTTTCACAAATGCCATTCCGCTCGTGACAACAACGTGTCCCGCAAGTATTTTCTCGAGGGTCATTTCCTTCTCCCTTGATGTGAAATCGCCGAACACCTTCCATGCGCTCGCGGGGGGATCATTGATGAAAACATAGAAACCCGGCAAACTTTTGTTGGACTGGACGTAGTGCACCAACACTTTTTTGCCTTTCACCGTCTTCGCTGCAGGGCCCGGTCCTGCTGCCTCGCCTGCTTTCCCTTCCTGATCTACTGGTCTCACGCCGTCCTGCCCTGACAGTTCGCCTTTTTCCCATTTGTAAAAGAACTTCTCAACCAGATTCCACACAACTCTGCCGCTCGCTGCAAGACACATGTAAGGCCGCAAAAGGTTTGACCAATTCCTCACAAATCGTTTCGCCAACGACTAGTTCCAGAGTGATGTGTCAGGAGTCATCCGTATAGCTTTCCGTACGAACTCCTGGTATTGGTCACGCTGTGCAGTCCTTTCTTCCACCGTCTTTGTCTGATGCCAATCACCTTTTGGCTCTTTCATACTCTGCCACAGACCTCTAATAGCAGTCACAGCCATTCGAAACAACGACGGGATAACACGTGTCTCCCTGGTGTTGTCAAACGTGGAGATGTATGCATACCCCTCCAAATGGTCATCGTCAAAATACACAACTCGCGCCTTCCAAGAATGCACGCCCCACTTGTGGGCAGCAGACGATTTCGCAATGACCAGCCTCTTTGCTGCCTCCACTGTATGTTGGCCAGCCACTGTGTACCAACGGTAGGAGGCCACCTTGTCATCATCCCACTCCTCCGGCTTCACACGTTCCCACTGCTTCCGGCCATCCTTCTGCACTTCAACGACAGGAGCAAGAATCCACATGTTTCTGTCCCACTCCTGCTTTTCCAGGTGTTCCATTGCGTCCCTCATAGAGGTGACCAACATCTCGTTCAACGGCCTGTGGTTGTATTACACGCCTTTCGAAGGGTTGGGCAATATTTTGACCACGTCAACGAATACTTGGGTAGGCCGATCTATCGCATTACCGTCCTCGTCATATTCCAGGAAAAAACATCTCGTGGTGTCGATAGTATCGTTGGTCAACTCTCTAGGCTTTGACGCTGTATGTCTCGGGTCGACCCTCGCCGCTTCGTCCCCAGAGTCCGCGACTTCCTTTGTCTCCTCAGCCTTTGTTTTTTTCTTCGGTCTCTGGGAAGATCGAGTTCGTTCACGCTTTTCCTTTGCTGGTTTAGCGGATTGAGCCTCTAAGGATCTCTTGTAAGCCTTCGTCGAGGCCTGTAGGCTGATGAGCTTAGCTTGTCTCCGCTTCTCTTCCTCTGCTCTCCCACATTTCATTTTCCTCTTGCGCATGCACACAGACCTTTGTGTGCCATGCAACACATCGTCATCTTCTGCCGGACCGTCATGACTTGTGGCACGGGAAGACTGTTTCCGCCTTTTCTGCAACCCTGTATTCCCGCCGTCGTCGTCGTCCGCTCCACCCTCATCTCCTTCGCCCCCCCCTTCATAGTTGTCTTCCCGTTCTGCGGCGTCCTTGTCACTTGCTTCCTCATTTTCTTCTTCTTCACTCCCATCGCCTTCGTGACCACCATTCTCTTGGCCTTCACTACCATCACCTTCGGCGAAGCCATCCTCCAAGCTTCCCTCTTCATCGTGTGCACCGTCACGGAACCGCTGTTCGTCTTCGTCCCCTTCCGTGTCTTTCGCATCATTGTCATCGGGCCACCGCCCACCGTCGGAGTTGAAGAAGCGTGAGTCCTCCTGTGTGCTTTCGTTGTCATCCTCATGGTCAGTGGCCCCACCAGGCGGAGTCAAAGAAACGCGTGCCACATATTCTGCATGGGATGGTGCCTGCGTCGGAGACATACCCTTCGGCCGGAGCAGAGAAGCTGATTTGCTCACGCTCTTTGCCTGTGTCGATGCGGCCCCACTTTTGCTTATACGGGCGGATGTTTTCGGCTCCCCACAACTCTTGCCCACCGTCTTTAGCGAGCTCACAGAGACAGCAGTTCGCAAAACGGCTTGGCCCATCGCCTGCAGCTTGTGACGTCGCACCATGTCTGCAAAGTCTCCAAGATCACAATCGAAGGGCACGAAGGGATTTGACAACTGCAGGTTGTTGTCAATAGTCACGATATGGTTCGACACCTTATAGCAATTAACGAGTTTGAGGAACTCGAACGACCTGAGCATCACCATCTGCGACGCATCCTTCTTCTTGGACTTGTCGAACGGAGGCATTGATGCAGCGCGGACGCCGTAACCTTGGAACAGTGATGATGTCAATGATGAGGATGAGGAGGACGATAATGGTGATATGACTCGTTGGAATCTGAAGACTAACGACGGCGATAATGATGGTGATAATAAATTGTTGGCATCTTTAGAATCACCTCAAAATGGCAATCGTGATGATGATGATGATGATGATGATGATGAGAATGGGGAAAATGGTTATATGAATCGTTAGAACCTGAAGATTGGGGATGGCGATACTGATGGTGATAATGAATCGTTGGCATCATTGGGATCACCTTAAAATGGCGATTGTGATGATGATGATGAGGAGGATGAGGATGAGGATAAGGATGAGGATGAGGATGGGGAGAATGGTGTATTGAATCGTTGGAATCAGAAGACTGGGATAAAGAAAGGGAAGACCATAACGCAGATCTGGGCGGTAGAGTCCAGTGGGATAAGAAGAGAAGTGAAGACAGGGGAGGGGGTTTCAATGATTCTGGCTACATGTCATTGAAAGGTAGTGAACAGGAGGGCGAAGACAACAGTGTGGAAAATTTCAATGATTCTGGCTACATGTCATTGAAAGGTAGTGAACAGGAGGGCGAAGACAACAGTGTGGAAAAAAACTTGTAGCCGGCAGGGGAGGAGACAGGACTGGAGAATTCCTTGGTGCTGAGAGAAAACGTGTGTGTGTGTGTGTGTGTGTGTGTGTGTGTGTGTGTGTGTGTGTGTGTGTGTGTGTGTG